GGGCCCAGGGAGGGAATTTTACAGATGGACCACCTCAGCCCCACCATAATTGGGGTATAAGATAAGAAAATTTATGGTTATGGTACCTCCTTGGCCGGAAATTGCACTTTCAGACTTAAATTTGAATATAATTTTCTTTTTTCTCCACTTTCAAACTGTGAAAGAAAATAGGGAGTGTGGGCCGGCTGGTCACTCTTAAATCTGTCCGTCACTGAAATACTTATAATTTTTTTCCAATTTATCCTGGTAATCATAATCATGCCCGCTTACATATTTCGTGCAAACTACGGTTACATTAAAAAAATAGTGATTTATTATCTACCGATTAGCTTGTGACGTATTCGAACCATGAAAAACAAATGATAAACCATGTTCCTTCATGGATAAACTTAAAACAGTCACTCCAATTCTATCTTAGAATGTACAGTACTTTTAAAATCAATCAAGAGGTTTTTCCTTTTCTCCTCTTTTTGAATTTCAGTTTTGTGCGAGTAGTGACATGGGTGGATCCAGAAATTGTTAAATTTCCCGAAGGGAGATCTGCTCCCCTCCTAAGCTTAGACACCCCTTCCCTTAGGGGCGTCGCAAATGGCTAATTATGGACCAATAGTCTATTTTATACTGGGAGTCGCAAAGCAAGTTATGATTATGGCACTTCTAGATGCCCGGAAATGGCACTTATTCAGATTTTATCTCCATATTTTGTAAATTTTGAGAAATGTAGGGGGTCCTGGTCGGCTGGGCACCACATCCCCTCTTGATTAATATGATATATATCCGACAGTCAACGTCAGAGACATATATTCCGCTGTTATGTATAAACTATGCCCTTTTAGAATTAGATCAGGGCCCACTTGCCGAATTTATTCGCGCGAATAGAAAAAGGCGGCTCATGCACATGCGCATTCATATTTCTATCGGAGTTTTTTCTAGCGAAAAAATGCGCAGCCAATCAGAACTCAGGAAGCGAACCGACGCTTTGATGCGCACGAATAAATTCGCCTAGTGGAAAACCAGCTTTATGTCACTGAGCATATAGCTGTTCTAGCAGGGTATCGCATACTACATTCCGGTAATGCGGGTTAAAAACCCCGTCTTAGGTCTCCGTCTTTTGGCCTTTTTTACATCCTGTTTTGTGAAATCGGCGTAACGTGGTGTTCGCCGTCAGTCAATAGAAAATTCAAAATTTGTGAGTGGTAAAATAATCGAGTTCTCCTTTCGCTGACTGCTGTGACCGCCACTGAGCTCATGGGTACACTTATTTCTTTTTCTCTTTCCTCCTCCCTTTAACTCTTCTCATTTTTGTTCTCCCTCTTCTTATTTTTCGGTGGGATTGACGGAAGGGGGAACGGGCCCCTGTGGCTCCTCGCTGGATCCGCCCATGCATGATGTCATGGTAAGATTGCGTCAAGTAACATCGGAGTAAACTTGTCACTACTTAAATAAGTCGAAATAGACAGACCTATCCGTGAGTATATAAGGCTGTATAATTATTGTTTATAAGGCTATATAAAATTCAATTTACTAACTATATATAACTATATATATATATTTTTTTTTAATTAGGAAAAACAGGAATTATTGTATGCAGATAATATTGAACACTAGTATAATATACGGGCCTTAATAATATATACAAAAGGAATTATCGTTTATAGTAAAAACGTGAACTTTGAGTTCGTAAAAATGTTGGCCTAATAGGTGTACACGCTTCCAATTTTAACAACGTATAGTACAATGTTTTCATAATAATGTAGCCTCTGATAACCAGTGCATTCATAAAATTAATGGTTACTGAGATGGTTACGAAATGTACAAACAATTGCTTTTTACTCAGTATTGGTGCGGAAATAAGCACCGCACTTGAACAGAGCACAAATGAATGGACAAAATTCATGAGTCATTCGTAATTGTTATTCTTTCCACTCGTTTCGAAAAGTTGGGTTTTAACTTTAGAAGATTGGTAAAAAGTGAGGGGAAGGGAACAATTGGTATGATGTCCCCCTTACTTTGAAAGTGGGGGGGGGGGAGAGGAACGTGTCCACCTGTCCCCCACCGATCGACGCCCATGATAAACACTAATTTTATGATATTCACGCATGATATGACGTACTGTTTGGCTGTGTCTACGCAATTAAATATTGAATAGCTTTATATTAAAAACAATCAAAATCTGATGAAAGTAAAAATAGCTTTCACTGATTTTAACAGACGGTTCTACAAAAATCCTTAAATGTCACAAACCAACCAATGAATCATGCAAAAGAATACAGAAACGCCGGGAGAAACGCTCTCTGTCTGTTAATAGGTAGGGATTTTTTTTTTCTCAAAAAAAAAAAAACTTTTACTTGTAAAATTGTAAGTTAACTGTGTCCGAAGTACTCGTAATTTGCGAGCGGCTGGAACCAGCGCCGATGTTAAGGCTGT